GAAGAAAACATGACAACTAATATGAAAACCAATATAAAACATACAAAAAAAGAAAACATTAACAACATCATATGGAGACATCCTTGTATTTATAAATCCTTAAGACCTTAACATAGTCTCTGTATTAACTTGAAGGATGATGTTGTAGGCGCACACATCATGATGTTTCCTATTGGCTTTGCATTAAGCTTGTACCAGTAGTTTTTCAGTTATGACTGATGAACTTAAGTTGGATTTTCTTCTTCTTTTGACTCTTTCAATCAACTAACATTTAATTTCAACACAAACAACCTATCTAACCTCTCAAAACTTTGTTTTTCTATACACGGATGTGATAGTCAAATTAGGCAATTGCAATACGCAGTAAAGCATTTGCTTGATGTCTTACTAAATTTGGCTCCTCAATAAAGTCCATTGTGCTTATATTATATTGTTGCGGATTGGACATATATTCACAGATAGAGTTGCAGGACTTGGAAGGAAAAAAATAGGGATGTAGCATCACCATTAACAAGATAGGATTGAGTTTGTGTCATTCCCATGATACAATAATGATCCATTGTTTTTTACCTGAAAGATCTACTATTCCATGTTCAAAATGCCTATACTATTCCTTAAATGCAAGTATCAGAAGACAATCCATTCTTAGACCACTTATTTTGGACAATTTCTGTAGTGACATTAATCATTATCAAATTTATCAGGTTATTGTTCTGCATACACTAGTCCAGTTCTTATGTCAGCATCAACACCTTCCAACACTGCTGCTGATACGATGAAACTTACTACTCCAGTTTCCATCCCGACAGCTTCAAAAAGAAAAGGGTCCAAGGATGTTTCCATAACTGCCAAAAAATCTCGTACACGGTCACCCACCAATCAGTTGCTACTTAAAGGTAAATTTTATTGATGTTAGACTTTATGAATCTCATATTTTAATCTTACGGTGATCACTGAGTAGTCAGTACCCTTTTCTTGCAGGTGCTAGTGCAATGCCACAAGATGATAAGCATAACAACAATTTGAAGAGCTCAGCAATTCAGCCATCAGATCCCATTGATGAACCCAAAAGGTCACCAGTCCAAGGATCTAACAATGCCAAGTGTTTGTCAGACCACCCCATTCAGTCCCCTCTAACTAATTATTCTGACCCCAAGACACCTCCAATAGAATCTTCATCCCAAACTGACAAATCTATATCCCCGCTTGGAATTTGTTCAACAGCAACTTCCATCAAAGAAGCTACTCCCTCTCATCTAATGTCGACTAACCACATGATAATCTCTTCAGAAACAATTCAAGTGACCCCCACCAAACAAATAGCATACTATTCCATAGAAAGAAATCACTGTGTTTCGACTTCCTCACCAGTTAAAGCAAACTTGACTAGGTCTGTGAGGAGAGATCAAGTAAAAGGTAGGTTAGATTTTGATGCCTCAGACATTCCTGACACGGTTTCAACATCTGATTCTGAGAAGGAAGGAGATACTTTTGACTTGGATTTATCTAATTTGGATCTTCTGGGTGAGAATTTTAATCTTTCTGAGCTGCTGCATCATTTCGACATTGATGTACAAGGGGTTGATCATTCTTGCCAGGACAAACTGGACTTTTCTCCAGAGTCCTTTTCAGGGTATAATTTCTTGTTTTTCTGTCCATGAAGAAAGATTTCTTGTTACATCCATAATGCCAGCTTATCTACAGAAGCTAAGTTTCCATCTAATGTTTAATGCACAGGTCACCATATGAGTCTGGAAATGTCAACATTGATGGAAACCAAATAACATCACAGATTTCCTCGACAGTTACCAAAGTCTTTTCAGAGAAAGATACAAGTTTACTAGGTAAAAGGGAATTCTTGACTGTACAATTGAATGTAAACTTCTTTCATGTGAAAGTGATCTACATATATTTCAATTTTATCATTGATTCTTCAGGTTCAGATACTGTGAAAACTGTGAAATCGGTTACCAAACGTATCCAACTTTTAAGTCCTGGTAAGTGGTAGTTGCTTCACTTTCAGCTTTACTTTTTGTTTTGTACAAAGAGCTAATAGAGGCCATAAGACTAATCGATTCTGTATCATTTTACATCTTTGCAGTTAAGAGTAACAGAAGCTCGAGACATTACAACTTGTGTGCAAGAAATTGACTAAATTCTTCAACAGATCAATATGGAGGCTGACATGCTAGAATTCATCACAGCTGACCTTATTTATGAAATCCAATAGAATTACCTTTTCAAGTTCTAAATTTCAAATATTCATTCATTTGTAAAATATAAGATGGATTTTGAGTAAGATAGAAGCCTCTTAGGTACATTTCGTCGTTTGATAAACTAAAATGTTTATGGTACATAACTTGCATCACATCAGATGATACATCAAATGAGATAGTTTTCAGGCTAGGTACTTTTCCAGCTTCTCAATTTCTTCTGGGCTTCCAATAAAAATAGGCGTTCGCTGATGTATCTGCATCAAAGAAAAGTAATTAAGGTCCTATGGGCTTACGAAAAACTGAAAAAGACACTACTATGATGTTTGAGCTGTCGTTCCACATTACGTTGCTCATTTTTTAATCGTTATATCACACCACCTACACCTTAAATTCAATCTTCAACTAAATACTGTTAAAGAATCTTAATTTATGTTTTCCCTGAATGTAAATTTTCAAATTTACCTGCTCAGGCATGATTTCCAGTATCCTTTGGTTGCCATCTGTTGATTTGCCACCAGCTTGTTCTACGATATAGCTCATGGGTGCACACTCGTACAATAGCCTCAAGTTCCCATTTTTGCTGTTCTTGTTCTTAGGATTTCCATAAATCCCGCCATACAACAACATTCTATGGATTTCACCCACGAGACAACCTATGTAACGGCCTGAATATGGCTTGCCATTAGGACCTGGTTGCTTTAAGTGGTCAAGATAACTCTGCAATTTCTCATCCCAGAGATCATAGTTTCCCTCATTAAAGGAATAGATCCTTCCAGCCTTTGGTATTTTGATATCTTCATGTGTCAAAACAAATTCTCCATATGCAGGGTCTAAAGTAAATGCATATACTCCGTTTCCTACCGAGAGTGTGTAGACCACTGAACTTGAATAAAGACAATATCCTGCTGCTACTAAATTGCTCCCTGGCTGACAAACACTGACTATACACTTCTCCCTGGCTTGATCAATCTGAAAATCCAAAATAAAATAAAACATTGCTTTTCAATTTCATCTTATGCAACATTGTATTGAAATGAGTATAAACGGAGTGACATGGACAATGAGGATTCATATAGCCGACCCCAACTTGTACTTAAGTTTCATGTTAGAATTGCGAGATTACCGTGGAATCATCATCCATATCTACAAGGCATTGCTGATCTGGACCATAAATTCCAAAAATTGATCCAGTGGTCAAGGCAATGTCAATGTTAGCAGATCCATCAATGGGGTCAAACACTACAATATAATTTCCAGAATAAGTTTCTTCAACTGCCACTGGTACATCTTCTTCCTCTGATGCTATAATCCCTGTCCTCCCACTTGATCTTAGACAATTGCAGAACAACTACAACACTCAAAGATTACATTTTTACTGATCAGTGCACTAAACTTCACAATAATCTAAGTGTTAGAAGGTAAAAAAAAATTAACAAACCTCATTAGATATAACATCAAGTTTCTTCTGATCTTCACCTTGGATATTAACAGTGCCTTGAGTTCCTGTAATGTTAACAATACTAGACCTTTGTAAAAGCGATGCGATTTGCTTGCAGGCTAGTGATATGCTTGAAAGAACTATGGCTAATTCTGCATCTATGTTTCCTGCTTGTTCTTGCTGCAACAACCATGTTGTCAAGTTTACCATTTCATATCTGTTTTTCGGTTTCTTGATCTGTGCTGGAGCTGTTTTTGCTCCTTCCAAGCTTGCTGCTTCGCAGCGAATTCTTGAATTAGGACTGAAACTGCCATGGATGAGATGTTGTGATCTCTTGATATTGGTGGGGAAGAGATGGAAATTAGGAGAGAGATGAGAAATGGAAGAAGAGCTTGAGCATTTGGTTCCAAGAAGAGCTTCAGCCATTTTTTTCTCTCTATCTCTGAATTGACAACTGGTGTTGCCTGCTTATCTTTTTCCCTTTTGACAATTGTGTGAACATAATTTTGTCACAACAATATCTAAAGGTCCAAAATACTAAAGAGCAACTTGCTTGAAGATCAAAAGATATGTGGCTGAAAATTCAAGGGATCAAATTGGGGTGTCCCTACAAACCTAACAGAAAGATGATTTCACTTTTAATGCAAATAAAAGATGCAATCTTTGGACTTAAAAGAGAAACTTGGGAAAATCAGAAGTTCTTTCGAGGAAAGGATAATTGTCAATGCCAACAAAGTCATATTTTTGCTCAAAATCTATTTAACTTGCCAAGCTTTTGATTATGGTACTGTGAATTCATGTCCTCAAGCTCATTCAGTAGGTTATTTGAAAGACAAAAAGATCCATAATTTCAATGCTAAAAGAGTCTCTCACATTGGATATATAAAAGGGTAGTTCAGTGCACGAAACATCTTGTATTTATGCAGGGTTTGAGGAAGGGCCGCACCCCTAGGGGTGATGTAAGCAGCTTATCTTGATGCAAGTATAGGTGAATGATTTCACGTCTCGAACCCATGACCTATACGTCACATGAAGACAAGACCTTTTTGGGCTTCTAAAAAACTAAGCTAGTTTAAAAAAATTAAGACAAAAACAAAAAAGATGGTTATAAACTATCTCAACCTATTCTATTTGTGTTCTGTCTCAACTAAACTCCTCACCAACACTATTCCAATTCAGTCCATTGAGCCTCGAGCTCGAGGCGACTAAAGCTACTCGATGTTTGCAAAATTTTAAAAATATATGGCGTATAAGTACCACTCCAACTGTATAGTGAATTGAATCACTGCAAAGCTTTTCAAGACTCTATAATCATCCAAGGCTTTGTTTACAGCTCTTCATTTCAAGTAATATACAAATTTACAGCTCTTCATGTGTTTTGTTTGCTTACAAAACTAAAGTAGTTGAAAAAGTAATGAATATCCCCTTCAGTTCACATCTGTATTAAGATAAGTACTTTTCCAATTTTTCAACTTCTTCTATGCTTCCAATGTACAACGGAACGCGTTGATGTATCTGCAAAGAGAGAAACGGTAGTAAAAAAATTAACTAACATACTTAGCTTGTTGACAGAAGATGTAGCAGTCAGTTTGTACTCACCTCAACTGGTTGCATATCAAGAATTCTTTGTTGGCCATCCGATCCTTTGCCACCGGCTTGTTCCACAATAAAGCTCATTGGGGCACACTCATACAAAAGCCTCAACTTCCCGTTCCTGCTCTTCTTGTTTCTCGGGTAGCCATAAATACCACCATATAAAAGAGTCCTATGAAAATCACCAACCAAACTGCCAATGTATCTGGCTGAGTAAGGCTTACCACTAGGACCGGGGTCCTTCAAATGATCGATGTACTTCTTCAACCTGTCATCCCATAACTGGTAGTTTCCTTCATTGAACGCGTAGATCTTTCCAGCCTTTGGTATTTGGATGTTTTCTTGAGTCAGGATGAATTCTCCAAACATTGGATCCAACGTGAAAGAAAAAACACCATTTCCCAACGTGAGCACAAAGATCACTGAGCTCGAGTACATGCAGTACCCTGCTGCAAGAAGATTGTTCCCTGGTTGGCACACATTCACTATGCACCTCTGCTCCACAGTGTCAAGCTGCAATTTTGAACATGTGTATTCGATATGGCTAACTATTCAGACGAAAAATTAGGCACCATAGAGCCAATCAATCTGATACAATTCATAACTAGATAGACAAAAATGATTATAGCAAGTATCTAGCATATATAACAAGCATGACAATAAAAGATCCTACTTCTCCTGAATCTCGATAAGAGAGGATACATAGGTACTCCGGTACATACCGTGGTAGAATCTTCAAGATCAAGGAGACAATCATCATTTGGAGTGTATATACCAAAGATAGAGCCAGTAGATACAGCAGCATCAATATTTGATGATCCATCAAGAGGATCAAAAACCACGATATAGTTCCCATAGTAACTCTCCTCTACTGCCACTGGTACATCCTCTTCCTCCGATGCTATAATCCCTGTCCGACCACTCGCTCTCAGACAATTAGAGAATACCTGGCCAAGCCATAAACATCAACCTTCATTAACATCTAGCTCAATATGCCATACTACTAATACTCTAAACGTTTATCTTGAATCTTCCTATGTTAACATCTTACTGCAAGAACCTCAAACTACTGAGGCAACAAATAAATATAATCAAAATCACACTTGTAGAACAACATAAGATGATCTTATTGATTTGGAGTTAGTGAAAGTCCTAGTTAGATGTACTAACTACCAGAATGAGCTTCCTCCGAGTTTTGGTGGGATAGTTGGAATCTCTGTACTCTTAACTAAAGATCTCGGGTTCAAACCTTGAAATTCAAGAACCTTTAAGTAGGAAGCACTTTACCCTTTATTGTGCAATTCAGTAAGTATCCAGATTAGTCAAGCCAGCAAATTTCAAATACTAAACGGTTAAACTAACAAACCTCGTTAGAGACAACATCAAGCTTCTTTTGGTCCTCTCCATGAGCATTAAAAGCACCATGAACTCCAGTAAGTTTGGAAATTCCAGCTCTTTGAACCAGAGAAGCAATCTGCTTACAAGCCATCGAAATACTCGAAAGAACAATAGTAAGTTCAGCATCAATAATCCCATCTTGTTCTTGTTTCAACAGCCAGCTAGTTAAGGTCTGCAGCTTATACACACTTTGTCTCTTAGTCTTTTTAGCCTCTCCTGCACTACTTTTTTCCAAAACCATGCACTTCACATGAACTCCCCTGTGTTCACATTTTCTCTTTACTATGCTGTTTTTTGTGCACAAAAATGAAGTCTTTTTGTGTTGGAAAAAGGACAAGTGGGAGAAGCTAAGGCTTGAAGTTGTTGCTGTTGGGGCTGTTGATACTGCCATTGGTAACTTTGTTTACTTTTTTTGAATTATGACTTAGTGAGTTGTGATCTCAAAGTTGCAACTAATAACATATAACACTATTATAGTTTTCGAATGTCTAAAATTTTGATTCTAAGAGATGGAGTTAATCTAATCCTATTTAGTTTTAAAGATATCTTTCGAAAATCGAAAAGTGTCACCTGATAAGTGTTCTAAGAGCAACTAATCTTAATTTCAATTACCCGGATTGTACAAATAGTTCTATTATTGTAACTCTTTCTTTTCATGTTATATGACTGGACAAGAAGTTATGATCTTAATCATGACACGATATTTTTGTGGTTATAAGAATTTGTTATTAAGATTAAAGTGAGAAGTTTTAAATTAACACTTGTCTAAATATAAAAATATTATCAATTTTTTTATTTTTTTTTTAAATGTGGGGATGAAAGTATTAGGCTAGTAAAGTTAAGAGGGTCCTACTTATCCATCTTTTTGGAACTTCCCCTTTCATTCGTGGTTAAGCTTTTGAAGTTACCCACGATGAGTCACATACATTCGACGTGATCGCAAGGATAATGATTTTAGTATAAAATTTGTTATTAACTTATTTAGATATTAGATAATTTTGAAATTATTTTACTCTATCACTTGTATTAATATGATGAAATTACAATTTTATATAAAAAGTAATATAAAATAATTTAGTGAAATATTTTTGTTTATCCCATCATGCGTACCAAATGATCCTAGCTTTATCGACTTATTCTCTAGCCATGTAAACTTAGAGAATATTCCAATTGTTCCACGTTGATTTTGCAAGTGCTTCCAACAAGCTGTTCATAATATTCTAGATAGCTTTCTGTCCATTTTTTTTTCTTCGTATGATCGACTTTTATGGATTAGGAGTGTGTAAAAATTGAACCGATCAATAAATTGAATAAAAAATAGTGTTATTGGTTTATTATTATTGGATTATTGAATTAACTGATTTTTAATGGTTTTATTAAAAAAATTATCGGGTTATTAGTTATTTAATTTTAGATTATTAGGTAAATCGATAATCCATTAAGACTGCAGTAATTTACTAATTTACTCCTTTATAAATATTAAATATTAAATATTAAATATTAATATCATTACCTTACACTTACTGGTTACTATACATTTGCCCTTTAGTCTTCAATTCGCATTTTATATATATATATATATATATATATATATATATATATATATATATATATATATATATATATATTGTCTTAGTTTTTTTTCATTTGTGTTGCACTAGTATAGTTCTTTTTATATTAATCATTATTATTTCTATTTTATGAGCATTATGTAAAGTTATATTATTGTCATGTCGTCAAATTATTGGAGAAGTCATATATTTATTTTATGAGTATTTTCTTATTTGTTAAACCGAAAATTGAACCGTTAAGGTCCAATATCCGTTAAATCAATAAAAAATATCTTATTGGTTTGATTATTGATTTAACATATTTAAAAACTGAAAATCAATAATACATAAAATTGAATTGAACTGACCAATGCACACCTTTACTCTAGACATGCAAAAAGTTTCTCAAAAGACAAAAAGAAGAAATGTTACTATATATATAAGTGGCGTTATGAGCTTCCTTTTGAAGATAAATGATACTTCGTTGCAATATGTTTGTAAAGTTTGAGTTGCCATGAAACTTAAGAAAGTAAAAGATTTTTTTTGAAGTTAATGGTCTTAAACTAAAATTATATAGAATGTACATTTCCTATTTCATATTACGCGATTTCTGAATAAATTCAGAGGCGGAGCCAGTATTAGAAGTTTGGGGGTTCTAAATTTCCTTCTCCTTCTTTATCATTGAGTTGTCAATCAGTTTTGTTAGGAGTTCACAAGTTATTACTTAAATTTCTAGTACAAATATAGGGTCTACGAAAAAGCTACTAGGTTCGTCCGAACCCACGAACCCCCACCTAGCTTCGCCCTATCTCTGATGACCTACCACACCCCTTAAGAGAACTTTAATATAAATGTATTTTACTAAACTTAAAACCTTATTAAAGATATTGTTAAACTCTAAATTAGTCTACAACTATTTTATGTAGTTATTTAATACTCCCTCGGTCCCATAATAACTGATTATATTCTATTTTATACGGTATTTAAGAAACCACAAATAAAATGATCAATTTGACTAATTTATCCTTTATCTATATTGATGGATATTAAGATAATTTATGATGACAGTACAAGTACTCCAAAGTGGGTGAAAGCAAGAGTACAAATTAAATGAGTAATTAAATATTTAATGAACTCTTTGGAAAGATAAATTCTAGGAACTTTAATTTGTTTAAGCTTCCAAAAAGAAATTACGGGAACATTAAGCATGATGATGATATTAATTAAAGGGGTAAAGTATAATTTTTTTTGATTAATTTTGTCTTGATTTAGTAAGTGATCAAATAATTTGGGACATGTATTTTTAGAAAGGTGGTTAGTTAATATGGGACAGAGGGAGTACTACTAATTGGTAGTATGAGAAAAGTAATACTCCCTCTGTCCAACAATAGTTGTCCACTATTGACTTGACACACTCTTTAAGAAAACAATAAATAATAGGGGGTAATATTACTCCCTCCATTTCATATTAATTAAATTGTTGAGACATTTTTCATTTTTCAAATTAACTTAATTGTTCAATTTTCAAGACTACTTTTAGAATGTTTTTCCAACTTTACCCTTCATTAGTTGGTATTAGAATTAGTTATTAATTAATGTTTAGTTATTTTAATCATAATTTTGATAATAATTAGTAAGGGTAAAGATGAAAAGTCAAGCCTAATTTCTGTCTTAATCTTTTTTTCTTAAAGGTTGTGAAACACCTCAACAATTCAATTAATATGAAATGGAGGGAGTACTATCTTATCTTTTGACTTTATTAAATTTAAGACTTTGAGAAATATATTAGATGATACTCGAGAAAAGTCCCAAAATAGTCCCTCATCTTTGGGTTAAGACTCAAAGTCATCCTTGAGTTTTCACATGGAGCATTAATAGTCCCTCATGTTTGCAATATTGGTGCACTTTTAGTCCTCCTCCTAAATTATGCCTATTTTTTAACATTGTTTTTATTCATAATTTATGTATGAAATGTTCAATTGTCATTTTATATATTTAGTAGAAATAATAACTATGTGTGAGAGAATGTGAGAAGAAAAACACCTTGTTTTGTTTAGTAGAAATTGTATTGCAGGTAAAGTCGAGAGGTTCATCACGACGATTTCACGTGCAATAGTACAATTTTTTCTTTTCTTGCAACGTCATATGTCAAGATATTCTTAGTTTAGCTGCAATAATATTTCTACTAAACAGAACAATGTGTTCTTCTTCTCACCTTCTCTCACATAGAGTTATTATTTCTACTAAAATATATAAAAAGACGATTGAACATTCCTTACATAAAATTGTGGATAAAATTAATGTTAAAAAATAGCAAAAGTTTAGGGGAGGACCAAAAGTGCACCAATATTTCAAAAATGAGGGACTATTAGTGCTCCATGTGAAAACTCAAGGATGACTTTGAGTCTTAACCCAAAGATGAGGAACCATTTTGGGCCTTTTCTCGATGATACTCTCTCCCGTTCTTTTTTATATGCCACATTTTTAGATTTCACTTGCATTAAGAAACTAAGTAAGTTTACAATTCTACCTGTATTTAAAATTTTATTGAAGTCAACTTTTCAATAAATGATAAATAATTTAATCTTTTATTTTTAATTTGTTTGTTGACATTTCTTTTTCAAAATCATATTTTATAGAGTATTGCAATGGTGAGAGTAATTAATCAATGTATGAAGTAATTACAAATTTACAATGAATATTAATTCATTATTAGTTTGTCTAGGTTGGTCAAATATTTATTTTCAAGACTAATTAACTATCAAGAGTATAATAGGAAGAATATTGTAATTTATGTATTGATTTTATGAAATAACAAGTATTGTGGACCAACGATTTATAGTGTTGGATGACATATAAAAAGGAATGGAGGAAGTAACTAGTATTTAATAGGAATGGTAAAATAAACATAAAAAGTAAATTATCTCTTAATTTTCTAAACTGGACAACTATTTTTAATATAGCGGACAACTATTATTAGATGGAGGGAGTAATAATAAAATTCTCTTGACTTGCTAAAATAGACAAATTAAAGAAAATAAAACATCAATTTTTGATATATGAGCCAAGTAATGAAACAGAGAAAGTATCAAAATGTCTTTAATCTCATAGTTTTAAATATCACGTGAAAATTTAAAATAAAAAATATGTAAATGAAATGTTTAATATATATTGACAAAAAAATATAAATAAATCAACTTGTTAACCAAGAATAAGACAGTAATCCAATAAGACATTTATATACATGGAATTGACTTGACTCAGTAAGAAGTGTCGTCAGGGTAATAAATATCCTTAAAGGTCGTCTGGTTACGAAGATAATTAAGGTAGGAGTAATGTTAAATGATCATAAAATTTGGTCAGAAATTTAAAAAAGTGTATAATATTTTTTTATTTTAAAATAAGTTAATTTTTTTTTATTTTTTTAATTAAAAGGTATTAAAGTTAGAAAGGTAAAAATGTTCAAAAAAAGAGTAAAATAACATAGATAAAATACCATTTTGACCAAATTCTGATTAAATTTTCTGGCAAAAAGGATTTTTCCTTAAGATATTATAGTTTCGAGATAAAATGTAAAATTATTTTATTTTGTATATGATAAAAAATATTTCAATTCGAGAATATTAATCTGAAGCTTGCTTATACCACAATGTTGGTATTATTTTCATACCACAGGGGAATAATTACACAT